TCCAACCGTTCCTCCCAAAGCACCCACCACCTCTCTCCTGGGTTCGCTAATTCGCTGCAGTGGCCACACAGAGCTCACAGATTATGGGGTTTATTAGGGAAGCACCACAGGCTACAATTCAAGTTCCGGAAAAAAATGCTCAGTCTTTCTCTCAGCCCACCGGCGCCTCAGCCAACAGTCTCTCACAGTCTCTTTCCCAGCAGTGCTGGTCCCTCGGTGTCTCACTCAGCAATACGTGTCTCTTGCATCTCTTTCCCAGCAACGCATGTCTCAGGAGCCCGTGTCTCTTTCAGCAGCACGTCTTCCTCAACCAGCAGTCAGAGAAAAAGAGTTCTGCATCTAGGAGGCCTCCTTTTGAGCTTGGCAGAGTGGCCAAACTAGCCAATCATAGCATCAGAACTCTAAGCACCTGAGAGAGAGCTTCCCATAACATTGTGTTGTGCCACGCCCAACAGAAATAACCCAGGTGGATAACATTTACAATCAGGAGCTCCTCAGTTGCTCATTCTACCACTGAGTTTACAATGACTTATGGGTAGAAAAGCCATACTAAGTAATTTACTACACTGCAGACCCTCCATGTAGTTGAGCCTTCATTCAGCAGCCTACCACGTTTCCTGCTGATTTGGGGACTGTCTCGGGACTTGAACTAGTGGCCTTCCGTGTTGTTGGTAATCTTGGGACTGTGCCATTTAATTTGTCAGCCTTGGGCTTGTCAGCTTCAGCAGCTAGCAGCTGCCTGAGTGAAAAGACACCTCCAGCTCCAGTGGGCCAGGAGCTAGAGGCAGAGCTGAAGCCCAAGGTCAAGCAGCTTTCACTCAGCCCCTAGAGCTTGGCACTTTGAACCCGGAATTCTAGCCTCATAAAGTGTAAGACAATAAATCCCTTTTTGTTAAAGCCACCCATTTGTGGTATTTTCTGTTAGAGCGACACTAGAGGAACAAACAGCCACAAAAAAGAGATGGCTACTACTGGTATTTTTGACCATTTATTAAGCTATACTAGCTCACTTTCTGATGAATCCTTGTCATTTTTAAAATTGAAGTAATTTCTTAGCATGTATCTTGAGGAAGTGTAGTACAAAACTAAACTTCTGAATTTTTGACTGATGAAATTTATATCTTTATGGAAGAAGCCTATTATTTAGAATTATCTGCTATCTGTTTTCAAGTAATTTAAAATTTTTATTGTAAGGGGTATTAACTGGACCCTGGAAGTGCATGCACATTTTGAAAATATAAATTTCATCCATCAAACATCAAATTTCTTTACTTGAATTAAATTATTGTCAAGTGTACATTTGGTGTTAATAGAGCATATATAATCACTTAAAAAAAGGATGTATGAAATAAATCCTATGGAGGCTATAATTAATATATCAAAAATTTAAATACTGATCAATGTTATGCCTTACTAAAGGCCAAAGGAACTATTAAACTGCCTATGCTTTTTTTCCTATATATTTGTTTTGTTGCTGTTGTTGAGAATATACACAGCAAAACATACAGCAATTCAATAATTTCTACATGTACAATTTAGTGACATTGATTATATCCTTTGAGTTGTGCAACCATTCTCACCCTCTTTTTCTAAGCTGTTCTTCCCTCATTAACATAAATAAATGCATTGCCCCGTAAGGTTCCTATCTAATCTTTGAAGTTGCTGTTGTCAATTACGTTGTTGTTGTTATGTGCTGTCGAGTCGGACCCGACTCATAGCGACCCCTCCTTGGGTTTCTGAGGCAGTATCATTACGGAAGTAGATTGCCCCATCTTTCTTCCAAGGAGTGGTTGGTGGGTTTGAACCGCCAGTCTTCTGGTTAGCAGTCAAGTGCTTTAGCCACTATGCTACCAGAGTTCCTGTTGTTAATTATAGATAGTTCTTAAAAGAGCATAATGCTTAAGTCAGATCTTTTTTTACTAGTGAAGTTAAACTAGTGCTCTAAGTGCATTGAGGCAAGCTGCAGTAAGCCAGCCTGGGAGCAGCAGAAGGCAGGAGTTTGTGTGCATAGAAGTGGGCTGCACAGCAAGCCAGCCCTGCAGCAGGTGGGGTAAGTGAGCAGGACAAGGGAGACCAGGAAATGAGCAGAGCAGTTTGAAACAACTAAGAGAGATAAAACTTGTCTGTCAGTTGGTTGTACTGTGGTGGCTTAAGTTGCTATGAGGCTGGAGGCTGTGCCACTGGTGTTTCAAATGCCAGCAGGGTTGCCATGGTGGGCAGGCTTCAGTGGAGCTTCAAGACTGAGAGACTTGGAAGAAGGAAGAGCTCATCCACTTCTCAAATAACTGGCCAGTGAAAACCTGGAATGAATAGCAGTGAAACACTGTGTGATATATTACTGGAAAACTTTATGAAGAGCCCTGAAACATTTTCCAATATGGTGCAGGAAGATGAGCCCCTCAGGTCGGACACTCAAAATACTACTGGAAAAGAGCTGCCTCTTCAGAGTAGAGCTGACCTTAATGATGTGGATAGAGTAAAACTTTCAGGACCCCCATTTGGTAATGTGGCACATCTCAAGGTGAGAAGAAACAGCTGCAAACATCCATTAATAATCAGAACATGGAATGTATGAGGTATGAATCTTTGAAAATTGGAAGTTGTCAGAAATGAAATAGAACACATAAAGATTGATATCCTAGGCATTAGTTAGCTGAAGTGGACCAGTTTTGGCCATTTTGAATCAGACAATCATATGATCTGCTATGCCAGGAATGACAAATTGAAGAAGAATGGCCTGGCATTCATCACCACAAAGAATGTATCAAGATCTCCCCTATCATTGATATCACACACAAGTAAAATCTTACTGATTCACAGTTGCAGCTGTATATTGACAGAGAACGTCCAGAAATGCAAGCTGGATTCAGAAGGGGATGTGGAGTGAGGGATATTATAGCTGATGTCAGATGGATCTTGGCTTAAAGCATGGAATACCAAAAAGATGTTTACTTATGTTCTATTGATCGTGCAAAGGCATTCGATTGTGTGGATCATAAAAAATTGTGGATAACATTGTGAAGAATGGGAATTCCAGAACACTTGATTGTACTCATGAGGAACCTGTATAGACTAGGAGGCTGTTACTCAAACAGAACAAGGGATACTGCATGTTTTAAAATCAGGAAAGGAGTATATCAGGGTTGTATCCTTTAACCATACTTATTCAGTCTGTATGCTGAGCAAATAATCCGTGGAGCTAGACTAGAAGAAGAACGTGGCATCAGGATTGGAGGAAGGCTCATTAATAATCTGAGATATGCAGAGGACACGACTTTACTTGCTGAAAGTGAGGATGACTTGGAGCACTTATTGATGAAGATTGAAGACTATAATCTGCAGTGTGGATTACACCTCAACATAAAGAAAACAAAAATCCTCACAACTGGACCAGTAAGGAGCATCATGATAGATGGAGAAAAGATTGAAGTTGTCAAAGACTTCATATTACTTGGTTCTATAATCAATGCCAATGGAAGCAGCAGTCAAGACATCAAAAGGCGTACTGCATTGGGCAAATCTGTTGCAAAAGAGCTCTTTCAGGTGCCGATGAGCAAAGATATCTCCCTGAAGACTAAGATGTGCTTAACCTAAGCCATGTTATTTTCAGTTGCCTCATATGCATCTGAGAGCTGGGCAGTGAATAAGAAAAACTGAAGAAGAGTTGATGCTTTTGAGTTGTGGTATTGGCAAAGAATGCTGAAAGTACCATGGACTGCTAAAAGAACCAACAAATCTGCCCTGGACGAAGTACAGCCAGAATGCTCCTTGGAGGTGAGAATGACCAGAGTTTGTCTCACCTACTTTGGTCATGTTGTCAGAAGGGACCATTCTCTAGAGAAGGTTGTCATGCTTGGTAAAGTGGAGGGTCAACAGAAGAGGGGAAGGCCCTCAACAAGATAGATTGACACGGTTGCTGCAGCAATGGGCTCAGGTATACTAGGGCTGGTGAGGCTGGCACAGGACCAGGCAGTGTTTTGTTCTGTTGTACATAAGGTTGCTGTGAGTCGGAGGTGATGCGTATGCACATAACAACAACAAAAATAGTGCTCTATTTTTAGATGACTTTGGAGGATATTTGGTTTAAAAATTATCTCAGAGCAATAGTTTCAGGGGTTCATTTACCCCCTATAGTTCCAGAAAGTACTAGCATTTGTGAGAATTTTATATTCTATTCCCTATTTTCCCCCTTTTCATCAGGATTCTTCTATGGAATCTTTGGTCAAAATGTTCAGTAATGGTAATCAGGCACCATCTAGTTATTGTGGTCTCATGGCGAAGGAGACAGTTGTTTATTGAGGTAATTAACCACATATTCCTTATTCTCCTCCTGTTCCTGACTCTCCTTTTTCCTCTTTTGCCCCAGATGAATAGAGCCCAGTAGTGTGCCTTAAATGGCTGCGTGCAAGCTTTAAGACCCAAGGCATTATGGAGTGAACTAGGAGGTAGAACCGAAGCAGTGAACACATTATTTAAGCCAATTAACTGGGCTTCCCATGAAACCAGGACCGTTCTTTAAACTTGCAAACTAAGAAACCAAATTCCATGAGGTGTTTCATTGTACATAGAAACTGCCTCAGCAGCTACTCTTATTACTATTTTTTGTTACTGTAAATATATCTTTCACACAACTTTTGCCAATTCAGCTATTTACAGGGTACAACTTACTGAAACAATTATAATAATGAGCTACCTTTAATGTGAATTTTCTATCACCCTTAACCCCCCTTTTTCCCATCTCCCTCCTGCCCCTGGTAACCACTAATAAACTTTGGTCTCTATACATTTACCTTTTCTTGTCTTTTTATATAAGTGAGATCATACAATATTTGTCCTTCTGTGATAGGCTTCTTTCTCTCAGCATGATGTTTTTAAGTTCCATCCATACTGCAGCATGTATCAAGACTTCATTTTTCCTATTGACTACAGTATTCCATTATATATATGTAGCACATTGAACTGTCTATGCTTTTGTTGACTCTGTTTAAATCTTCCATAAGGCAGTTGACATACATTCACAAGAAATGCCATAGTGAACCTGATGGACCTGGGATAGCAGCATTAACTAGCGAGGAGAGAACTCGATGGGCTAAGGTTATAATTTGCACTTTTCTTAATTAACTTTTTCCCAAAGAAATTATTTTCAGATTTTCTGGTTTATCGTGTTTCATTTGTGACATTTAATCATTATCTCCTTGCCCTGTAGGCACGAGAGTATCTGATTGGTCTTGTTCCAGAGAATTTGACTATGTTAGAAAAAATTCAGAGCAGTGTACTGGTATTTTCCATGGATGATGGCAGTCCACATGTAACACCAGAAGATAATTCCCAGGTATTTAACTATCTTGTTCTGTTACTTCTTCTCATAATTTTTCTGGAGTATTCTTTTGTATATTGAGCTTCAGTACGTTTTTTTTTTTTTAAATTCATGTATGCTCTTACAACTCCTCTTTAGCTATGATAAATGCATGTGCCAAATTGAAGCTTATACAAAAATAAATAGTGCTTTGTATATTCTTGCCACATTGTTTAGGACCTTTTAGATGCATCTTGCACTTTGTTTAAAGAAGAATGACTGCTTTTTGCATATCAGCGGTCATTGTTTCCCAGCCTTTTTTACTTGGACAGCACACACGGAAAATGGGCACAAGACACTGGGTAAATGAGCTGCTTATGCCGCAGGCAGCATGAGAATTTACCTGTAAGTCCAAACCTCTGTGCCTTGACACCTTAGTTGGGAAGCTCTGTCTTAAGAATTATCTCACTCTCGTAAGTAATTTACTATATCATTTGATTTTATTGAACTTACTGATATTATTTAATGAGTTCAAGGATAAACTGTGACTTTATTTGGTCTTTTTTCTTGGGGTAATATTATTGCATTATTTAGTGAGTTCAAGGCTAAACTGTGACTTTATTTAGTCTTTTTTCTTGGGGTAATATTATTGCTTCCAGGGAATTAGAAGGTAGTAGTATTAATGGAAGTCTCAGTTTTTAGAAAACACTTGAATTATTTCATAATACAGTCATCAATTCTAAGTGATAGGAATAAAATGATGTAGAGTTAAAAACTCTTGTAGCTAGAAACTGACTTTTCTTCTTTTTTTTTCAGTAGGAGAATCACCAGAGTTCTTTATAAATCTGTTTAAAAATATATGCCATTATATATATGTTTTCTCTATAGGGAAATATATGTTGATATGTTTCTAGATTTACCTATTTTCCTAAAATGACATACAATCTTTGATCTATGTTTTAGTTGAATGTGGTTCACACTTTTTTGCTTACAATCCATAGTTAGAAGTATATTTTGATTGCAGTCTAAATACACATACACACACACACACATACACGTACATATGCATATGTAGGTATAATAGAAGTTTCACAAGACATTAATTACTTTTAGTATCTGGAGTGTACTCTGATATTTATTCTATTTCTTTTTCTAAAGAATATTGATGATGATGCACTAAATTGATTGCATGACTCACAGATAGGCCATGACCTACAGTTTGAAAAACATGTTTAGTGGCATATGAATTCTTGAAATATTTTCCTCCTCACCAGACTTTAATAACTAAATGTATCAAGCCCTCTTACAATATTCAAGTTGTAAAAACCTTGCTCTTTTAATGAAGTGTTCTTTATATGCTTGAGTATTCTCTCCTCTGGCAGAATTGCCTTAATTTTGAGGTTTTGAAAAATATCTGAAGTCATAGACAGAATTATTATTCCATTTGTGTATAACTGTATTATAATTTTTTGAAATTTGATTTATTTGTAGATGGGAGAGTAAAATGATGTATAATATATGATAAATATACTTATAAAATGACTAACAAAACCTTTCAATTTGGAAAATTAATTTATTTTAGCTAACTGCAATGGTCCTTGCTGGAGATCCAACAGTACTCTGGGGTGACAAATCCTATAATTTGATCTCCTTTTCTAATGGAGTATTTGGCTGTAATGCTGATGTAAGTAATCTACTGAGGTTATTTTTCCGTTTCAATCCTTTAGGTTAATTTAAATGGCAATAAACCATAAATACCTATACTGTTTGATGATAGAATAAGTAAACTCTTCCATTAGTTATAAGATATTGTAGTAAGAAGTTTAGTTATGAATGTATGACTATAGTAAGTTGTAAGTTACCTGTAGAAAGGCTAACAATTTAGTGTGTATTTGCAAAATGTATATTGTGTGTCGTTTTTATTTAGTATAAGCTCTTTAAAATGCACTTCTAACTGTTTCTTCAGAATTACAACCTATTTAAAAATATGTTATTATATATATGTTCTGTTTACAGGAAAATGTATATGGATGTATTCCTAGATTTACCTAACTTTTTTCCTAAAATGACATGTAATCTTTGGTATATTGTTTATTCAGACTGCAGATATTAGAATTTCTTTAACAGTAAATCTTGACCATATTCATAAATTTTGACACTCTTCCTAATTCTTTTCTTTTAAGTCCTGTTGCTTCTCCTGTGTTCTTCTCCCATGGACTTTCTTTACTGGCTCTACCTTATCACTTTCTAATAGGCAACTGAGAGGCTGACAGGTTTATGAATCAAAATTGGGGGAAAAAAAAGAGTTGTAAAACCCACTATAATCTCATTATCATACTTTTCATAAAGTTCATAATTTGATGTAACATAGTATGAGGTAGGATTTTTTTCCTTTTGTCTTTTTGGTAGCCTTCCTCCAAAAGCATTTAGTAACTGTAAAATACTAAAAAGGCCTGTTACATTGATAGGGGTTCAGTAGTTGTATTAATCATCATATTTATTCAGTTTTAAGTGATAGAAATCTAACTAAGACTGGCAGTAGTTTAAGAAGACGTGTTGATATAAGGATACAACTAAATTTGGGTAAGGCTGATTTTTAGTGTATAGAAGCTTTCATTAGAAATCTATTTTTCCCTAATTTTTGACAGTTCTTTCTTTTGTTTGGCTTCATGTGTAGGTAAACTGCCCCATGTAGTTGTTTATAGTCTCCTGTCTTCATAGCTCTCTTCATAGCTTAGTGGCCCCAGGGGAAATAACTGTCTTTTTTTCTTTTTGGTGGTTCTAACAATAGTCTTAGAACTAAAACTTACTGGTTCTGATTGGCCTGTATAGATCACGTGCCCATTTGGAAAAGTCACGTTCTGTGATTGGCCTGGCCTGGGTCACATGCCTAACCTGGATGGAACCTAGAGGACAGAATCAATCTCATTCAAACCAAGAGAATTCACACTCATTCAAACTGAGAATTCAGGCATGATTTCCTAAAGAAAAATGAAGTAGGCTTTTTTTTTTTTTTTTTAAATAAGTCCCAGAAGAAGATAGAATGGTTAATCAGCGGTTAGTAACATTAGATGTCTATTTCATAGTGGTAGCTCATCAGACCAACCGAACATGAGCTGTTTTCAGGATTTATTTTCTTGTACTCTTTGAGTGCACTGTTGACAAAATATTTTTTTTCTTAATTGACTCAGTTTTCTTCTCTTCATCTCCTGTTTGAGTTTCCTTGACCTTCCTCAGTCTGATTTATGTCTTCACTGTCCTTTGTAAGGTAGCTAACTGCCTTCTCTTACTAAGGCATCTTGCTTCCTTTTCCTTTTGATCTGTCTGCCACAGTTAGTTACTCTCTTCTTCATTTGTGTTCTGATAATGCCTTTGTCTCCTTAACTGTCTATTCCTATCTACTTGATTCAAAAATGGACTTTAATATTACTCACATTTCCCCTCCCTTCTCCTGCTCTCTTCATTGGTTTTAAAGTTTAATTGTCCATTTTTGTATCAGTAACTTGTAAATATACTCTTCCATCTTTTACCTGTTACTATCATTTTGAAAGTTGTATTCCACTTTATGTTAAATTATTCAAATTGGATGTTACTTTGTTCCATAAAGGTAAGTATTGCAAACAGAATTCACTGTCTCACCTCTCTTCCCTTATCCCTTCCTCTACAAAAAATACCTGCCTGTGCTTTGATTGTTATTAATAGCACCAACATCCTGCTGTTTGCTCATACTCAGGACAGAAATAATCTTAATGGTATTTTCTGTTTATCCATAAAGATATATTGGACCCATAAGCAGTATACATCCCAGCAAAAGTCCGATGCTTTTCTGTAGTGAGTGGATGTGTATGATTTATGTATGTGTGTTAACACCCACATATTTATAAAATCAATCTGATTATTTCCAGTAGATAATCTGCTTTTTTTTTTTTTTTCCCATCAGAAAGGCAGTTTAATAAATCAGGCATGGTGCTTTCATGCTGTCATTAATAAAAACAAAGCAGGTATATATATATATGCAAAGGTTGTTAAAATACACTGCTGAATAAAACATCAAAGGGTGTAAGCATATGCTTAGTATTACATTATTTCCATTAAAATGAGGAAAATATACATCTCACCTACAAACTTTTATATAAATTAATTGTATTTAGAAAGCTGTGAAGATAATAATAATATTTGTAGTCAGTCTCCGGGGAGATAAATTGTATTCTAGACATCAGGGATGGAGGGAAACTACTTTCAGAGATGTATTTGTAGGTAATATTTAAAAAATTGTCTAAAGTGTGGTTTGTGAAAGAAGAAGTACTTTAAAAATATTGTGGGAGGATATCAAGAACATTATCCATGAAGAAAGCAAGAGATCACTAAAAAGACGAGAAAAGAAGACCAAAATGGATGACAGAAGAGACTCTGAAACTTGCCCTTGAGCAGAGAGTAGCTAAAGCAAACGGAAGAAATGACAAGATAAAAGAGCTGAACA